ATAGGTTATCATTGTCGGATGTTATCAAGGTCAAGGAGGAATTGAGTGGCTTTGTATTGACCTCGCTGGATAGAAACCCGGGTGAGACTTTGATCATGTGTCCTTCTGTTTACCACTCAGCGATGATGAGTACTTTTATGTCAAGCCTGGGTTATCGTGTTATCCAATCCCGCACTGTGGAAGTCTTGAGGGAAACAAAGGTGGACATTGTGAATGAGGGGTTGTGGTGCTTCGCTAATTGCAACTCGAAAGGGAAGTTCGGGGAAGCATATGTGCTTCTGAAGCACAAGGATGTTAAGCGTTTCCGTCCCATCTGCCTTACATTTAATGAACCAATGGTCCGTACGGGTAGAGTGGGCGTGAAGACCCTAAGCCAGTTACTATTCCAACTCCCTGTGGATTGTCACTTCAATCTGCAGGCGGTTTGCTACCTAGCGGATCGTATTCAGTGAACAAACAAGAAGGATGACCGATTGTCTCATGTGTATGATGTAGAGTCTACCTTGTAGGACATTAAAGAGATGTTTAGTAAACTTCCACATCATGAAATCCTGGATGAAGTTGATTGGATCGTTGAGCACCACAAAAGGGAAAGGGAGGACATACGTGAGGGTGAATACAAGGGGGAAGGGGGCTACGTTCGGAGCAACCACCAGCGTCAATCATTGGCGCAAGTTGGACCTTGAGGAAATGGTGAAATTCATTCGTCTCGAGTTGCGGCACACATATACGTTTGCTATAGGGGTGCTATTGAAACAGGTTGAAGGTATACCTATGGGAAAGAGTATCAACCCTCCCTTTGCATCCATTATGTGTGCGTTTGCGAAATGCAAACTTTTGAATAGTATTGGTAGGTACAGGAAGCGGGTGTTCGGCCTAAGGTTGATCGATGATGTCATCTTCGCCACAGAATCACTGCCTGTTGAAGTTCGGGAGGATGTGATGCGTAGATTTCAAGGTTGCTACCCATACAATTTGGTGTTGAAGAGGACTGACAGTGGTGATGGAGTGCTGCAATTCCTGGGGTGTGAGATACGTACCTGTCAGAGGAATCCGTACTTAGGAAGTGTTCAACTTGCAAAGAACGAGGAAACGATTTGGACTGAGGAGAGGCTGATGTTCCAGAATGGCCAGTCCTACTCGTCTTGGGGGAGCAAGCTTCCAAAAAGTGCTATTATTGGTAGCCACTTACACCAGATCGAGAGGAATACGACGATCTGGTCGGAGATACCCAGACGAGTCTTAACTGTGAAAAGGAAACTCCGCCTCAAAGGATTCCCTACTGACTGCTTTGAAAGAGTGTTCAAGCGCTTTGCAGTAGGGAAGGATGACATCTGGAGACTGACTGTGGAACTCTTGAGCTCAGACTACTAGTATTCGCTGAATAATCGAACACTTGTTTGATTAACTTGACGTTGAAAGGTAGCATCGGATAGGGTGGACCGCTACCTATAGTAGTTGGTGTGTACCTGTACCTTTAGCTTGAGTGAATGGATACTTACAACATTTGTTATGTACCTGTGCCTTCTGATTGGGTGGAAAACATCGGATAGGGTGGAACGCTACTTGCAGTAGTTGTGCTGTATTTGTACCATCAGTTTGAAAACATTGGATAGGGTGTATCTTTGATTAGTGAAGGTAGGCTGTGATGGGATGTGTTTGATTACTCTTTTATTTTCTGTGTTTCTGTTTTTCAATTTTCTGTTTTTCTTTCCTTTCTTTTCTTTCCTTTCCCTGATGAATAGAGCCGATTTACCCGGGCACCGCCTGGCTCGGGACACACTGGTCCCATGGATCCGGTTTTCTGTGTTTTTAAGGACGGTACTCTTGAAGATTCGTCAGGCTTCGAATTGCTTCTGATGGGGACGTAGCTCAGGAACAGTTTGGTAACCGACACTTGCGCCCGCTTGGTTTGCAGATGTGTACCTGGCGTGGCTAGGGGGTTGGGTACCAGGATGCTTTTTCTTTTTGTTGAGTGGCGTGAATTCTGTTTGTACGCGTCTCGGGTGCATTTGACTTGACTCTGTTGGGATAAATACGGTATATACGAAGGAGTCAACCTCCTTCAGGACTGACGTAGCTGAAATCTATCGACATTCCGGAGTGTAGGAGATAGATAGCACGAAAGTGGGAGTGACGGGAATGAGGGTATTTGTTTGAGGGAGAAAAAAGGTGGCTACCCCCTGAGGATGGCAATGTGGCAGTTGCCGAAACACGATGTTGGGGACGCCAAGCCTGAATTTGTGACAACTTTTTCTATGTTACAATCATTGATTTGACATCGGTGTCCATGTCCAGCGTCTATTACGTTGACTACATGAGTTTACTCTGCTTACCTTTGTATCACATACTTGGCAGGGCACTGGGCCTTTGAAAAAAAATAAAAATAAAAAAGATTGGGCCTTGACTATTATGGACTCAGCCAGGGCTCGATCCCTGGTCCTCGGGTTACCACCTGCCAGACTGCTATTTTGTTTTTGAGTCATAGACTCACGATTACCGCAGGGAATTTCGTAGTAGCTATGCGAAATCTTGAGTTAATTAATACTGTATCGAAGAAATCTATCGCCAACCCCTGTTTGGGAACAGATGGGTGACAGATGCGAGGGGCTGCGTCATGAAAAACTCGTCCCCACCCTGGAAAAGCTGGGTAAAGAATGAAATACTCAGAGTAGGGGACCTATGGGACAATGACAAACAGGATTGGAAAACAGGGAACCAGTTGCGAGGCATCCTAAGGTACTGTCACCACGCAGAGGAGTCATTGGAAAATATCATTGAAATCATTCCGCTAGATTGGTACCGAATCCTCAAACGAGGCCCCACTCTGAAGGAGGGAGACTGGGTAGCAAGCACAGGGACCCCGCTAAGTAAGGCCTAATCCACATGGTCTCACCTCAATTAGTCTTGGTCGAAGACTATGCCATTGTTAAATCAGGCATCCTCCAAGGGAGCAGGGCACCTTTCGAATGGAGAGAAAAAACAACACTACAGAGAGTAAGGGTTCTAGAAGAGAAGGGACAAAGGGTGGTGTTCCAACCAGAAATACCAATTCAAGACCTACCCTTTGACCCGGCAGAATGGATCTGGCAGCATGTTCAAAAGAGAGGAGTGTCTAGAACAGGCCATACTAGCCTATACCAGATATCGGTCAAAGCGGCCTACAGGATGCTCAGACCCAAAAGGCATTTAAAAGATGTGATAAACGATAGATGGGCTAGACACTTGAACGTGGACCGCACCCTCCTTTCACCAATCGAATGGTTTACGGAACAAAAATCAAAGCCTATGAAAATTACCTCTCTACAGTGGCAGATAGCTCACCGCTGCCTGCCAACAAATGATTGGTTGACAGATCGCACAACCTCGAACAAAGGGGACTTCTGCTCCCATGGTGCCAGCGGTGTCAGAACCTTTTCCCCTTCTACGAAAAGGCGGAGACCATTGAGCACATTTTTATGCAATGCCTGATTTCGCATTTCACATGGAGATGGTGGGACCGCATCTGGCGGAAAATGGTACCAGATACACCCTGGCCCTGGACATGGCAGGCTATACTGGCGGGCCATTGGCAGCTGGCAGCAACAACCACAACTTTCGTAGAGAACATGTACAGACTAGGCAGAAGGGCGGTGATATGGGCACTTTGGTGGCAAAGATGCACTCTGGCAATGGAAAAGGTAAGCGTGGAGAGGCCAGAGATTGAGGAACAGATTCGACAGCAGATCCATCTGGAACTTACACAGAGATGGTCAGACACAAGGTCACAGCTAGACCTTCTTAAGCACATAGGAGACGTTAGGAGACGGATCACGATTTTTTGTACAGACTGGATAGGGGGTGACAGAGAAGGTTGGATAGCAAAGGTGGAATGGAGCGGCGACAAAAGAGAAGGGATATGAGATTTAGAAGAGATAAGAGACTGTTTTTAACGATTGGACTAACATAGAGCCCTCATTCCCGCTACGCCCTCCTGCAGATTTCCCGGACCCCTTCCCGCCCCATGCCGTGTCACTGGCTGAAATCTTATCTTAAACATGTTCTGTTCTGTACTGCAGTTAGAGGAACCCTCCCCGGTGCCCCCTGGGGAAGGGTTCCGCTAATCATGACATCAAGCCTTAGAAGGTTGTATCAGTGCTTAATGTTTCTTCTGGCGCCCTCCTCCGGGGGGTGAAGAGATACGGAGGACAACTAATCACAACAGATATACCTGCTCAGTCAATCCCCTGTGGTACAGGGTAATCAATGCTGGCAGGCCTCATAATCACGGTTCCCAAACTCTTCTATATAATTTTCTGTTTAAGGGACGCTGGACCCGTTTTCCAGCTGGTGACGCTCCCCACCAATAGATGGAGCCTCCCTCTAGGTGCTAGTGGTGACTGCTTGTATCAGCAGCACTAGCACTGGCAGGGGTTGCTTTTTCTCTTTAAAAAAAAAAAAAAAAAAAAAAAGAGGATGAGAGGGAGTTGTGTGTGTGTATGCAGAAGGGAGTAGGGGAGTTACAATGACCAGGCACCCCGCAGGCTGGCTGCGCCATAGAACAGCTGATCCATCCACCTGCACCCCTTGGAAAAAAGAAAACAAGAAAGAAGAAACTGTAAAGTTAGCACAATTTTCCACTGGTATTTCTTCCCCTCCACCATCCTTCCCATGGCATCTCCCCCCTCCTCCTCCTCCCGCATCCTCCCCATCCCCTCTCCCCCCCCTCCCCCCAAGCCGTAGTGTTTCTGGCAACTGCCTCAGTAGTTTTATTATTTATTAATTTATTAATTTATTTATTTTTCGGGTCATTTCGTTGTGAATATTAGCATCAGTTTCCTAGCCGTTACTCCAAATTTACGCAAATGATTTTGTAGCAGACTGCAGCTTAACAGCAGCTCTTTTCTGCCAGTTTCTACTGACTTTGACTCATCTTTCCCACTGTATTCATCCCTTGGTGATGTTTGCTTGCAGATTTTACTTAGAAAAACTGCGCTTTTCATTCTCAAAGTCTGAGACAGAGGAGACGTCTTGGAACATAGTCTCAAGACCGCTTGCAATTCCACAATCAAAAAGAAAAAGGAAAAGAGAAAAAGAGTCAACCATGACCGGAGCTGAAGCACAAGGGCCGCTGGCGGCATCCGCCATGCCGCTTGGGGATCTTCTAGTCAGCGGGGCTTTGCGGCTTGCAAATAGATTCATTGGCGATGATGGTGCAGTAGCCCATCCTTCCTTTCTTTCCTCTTTTTCTCCCCACTTTTGTCTCCAAAGTTTTTTGTTTTTTTGTTTTGTTTTTTTAAACAATCAGCCCGAGCAGATGCTAGGGGTGCTGATAAGAGCGAACACCTCTAGCACTGACCGGGAGGCTCCATCTACTCGTCTCCAAAGTTTCTTTCCTTATTTACCTGAAGTCCCAAAGACTCTGAAATGAGATTCTCTGTCTCCAAATTTTTTTAAAAAAGGGATTCTCTGTCTCTCTTTGTTTGTAACATTGGGCATTGGGTGACTTGACAATACGATGGTCTTATTTTGTTGCTGATAAAAATGATTTTCTGTGTGCAGCGTCACACATTACCCTCCCTTACATGAAACATTTCCTCTCTCTCTCGCTCTCTCTCTCTCTCTCTCTCTCTCTCTCTCTCTCTCTCTCTCTCTCTCTCTCTCTCGCTCTCTCTCGCTCTCTCTGTGCACACTGCACACTGTGACGGTGATTACGAATGGGACGCCTGTCCTCGGCGGAAATGTCACCTCTGTTGTCGTCAATTCTATTGAACATAGCCAAAATGAACATTTATGGAACATAGCCAAACCCCAAATGTCTTTCGGGAAACAGGTCCAATAGACAAAGGGCGCTGGTCAGGCAAAAATTGTTGAACTACTCAAAAAATGGGCACATTTCGTGTTTGGTACGTACGATGTACGGCTTCTAAAGACAACATTTCTTTCAGAGTCTGTGAAAGTCATGTCTAGAAATTCCGTTCACCAGAGACCAACCATTGAGCATTTGAGTTTTGAGGCTGAGAGACAACTAATTTTCGTCCCCCAAATGTACGTCCATTATTGCTGTATCTAGACCGAATAGTCCCCCAAATACAGCTATAAAATGGTACGATTTATTTGGGGGAAGACCCTAGCGGTCTTCTTTTCAGTACTGCCTTTTGCGCAAGAAACTACACGCCTCATCACATGCTATCCGGAAAGTCAAAGGAAAACAAAAAAGGAAATAAAAAGGACACCTTGTGTCTTTTGTCTGCTCTTACCAGCACCCCTAATCATCCTGGGGGTGTTCAAAAAAAAAAAAAAAAAAAAAAAAAAAAAAAAAAAAAAAAAAAAAGGCAACAGCCGGAAGACTGTCTCTCTCACGTGGCCAGCCTTCACCAGGCCAGCCTTCACCTGCAAAAAAAATTAAAAAAAAAAAAATTCAGCCTCCAACACACTTGAACACAAATAAAGTCCAAGAAACTTAAAACTATACTTGTGTGTTTTAACACTCTTTAAGAACCATCTCCGAGTCGCCTAAAGCAGGGTCCGCTTCTGCCATAGTGAAATCGCGTACTGAGTTTCTGGAAGGCGGGGCTGTACCTGAAATTACTTACGAAAGGCTCCGACAAGACCCTGTTCAATCAATTCGGCGCTCTGGGCATTGGGCTTACTGCAAATTCGTGTGGTGTGCCTCATCACCTAAGTGCATTGCGTACTTTATAGGAGGAAGGTCACCCTATACCCTAAAATGGTACCTTGCTTGCCTGCTATAGCCTAACAAGGAATCTCAGCAAGGCGAATGACGGGTGCAACCACTGTTCGCACAGCCGGCTGCTTTTTCTTGGCCATTTCTTTTTTTTCACACTCTTAGGGAAAGTGTGTCAAACTTCAAAGAAAAAAAAAAAAAAAGAAAAAAAAAAAGTGTGTCAAACATTAAGAGAAGTGAGAGTTGTACAACGAAGTTGATTATTATTTTTTATTATATTCAAAATATTCAATATTTTTTACGTGTGTATGTGTGTGTGTGTGTGTGTGTGTGTGTGTGTGTTGTCATATTCGCTATACACTCAAAAAAAGCATGACTGTACCAGACTGTTTCGTCGGACTTTCACCGACTCATCAGGAGGTCGAATCCTTGGTGTGAGTAAAGTGGGGACCACTTTTCTCTCTCAGTGACGGGTATCGCTAACTCTGGGCAATGTGGTGAGTCCTTATCCATCAGTCAAATGCATCCTGGGCAGACTGTCGGGTTTCAACCTCCTGACGAGTCTGTGAAATTGAAAATATTATTTATGCGAGCTTAGTAGACTTAGAATGGTATGGGAGGGATGGATGAAAACAAGGGTTCAGGGCCCAGGCTAGAAGTTAATAGTTTGCTAGGTCAGGTACTTCAGGCATCTCTGGTTTTAAGAAGTAGGGTGGGGGGAGGGAGGAACCAGAATGAGAGTCTGAGTATTCGGCGCCGTTCTCAAGGTGAAGAGGTCCCTCCTTTGCCCCAAAAAGCCTGCTCAGTCAATCCCCTGTACCCCAGGGCAATCAATGCTGGCAGGAACACTCTGCATGATTGATCTGATGTAAATGGGACGATGGACCCGCTTTCCAGCAGGTGATGCTCCCCACCAATAGATGGAGCCATCTCCCGGGTGGTAGTGGTGTCTGCTCTTATCAGCACCACTAAAAAAAAAAAAAAAAAAAGAGAAACGTACATCACGAGAAAAAAAAAATAGTTGTCCTCCAAATTGATAATTCAAAAAATGCAACAAATTTGATTATTCATATTTGTGTGAGAATATTTTTGTAATGCGGGAAGTGTCTGAGTCAAAGGAGTATTCCAATTACATGTTCATCCAGCGGCCTAGCTCAGTTGGTAAGGCACGTAAGTGGCATTCAGGAGGTCTTGGGTTCAATCCCCATTGGCCTCATGTACCTTCCTGGGCAAGCTTGGCGCCCCCCACCTAGAGATATGCTGTTGGTCCATTGAGCAGAGACTGCTGATGTTCATAGGGGGAGGGGATGGAGGGGAGGCACAGTGACTGGCCCATCGAAGAAGCTCGGTCTTGATGCTACCGGCTGACCCCTGGCCGATATCGCCCACACCTGCTGTAGCAGGTATCGCACCTGGTGGTGGGTGCAGCTCCCGCATGTTCCCTCGTTGGAGGCTTGAGCACGGATGTGGCTGCTACCCCGTAATACTATAATGACAATAAAAAAGGCTTTTCCGGGTCTTTCCGGTAATTGAATTGGTTGGGCTTAAAGAATTAGCCTTTTTTTTTTCTTTTAAACAATTACATGTTGTAATTACTAAAATAAAGTCTTTCCGGGTCTATGACCAACACGGGTGTGAGTGTGAGCGTGAGTGGGTTGTGTGTGGTGTGTGGGAGAGTGTTGGCCATAGCCTCTGCTGCCACTCGATGAAGGGTGGGGGACGATGAGAAAGGGAGGCACAGCTACTGGCAGGTCTCGGTCTTTGTGTTAGCCAGACCCCCACTGGCGGCCCCAACCCTATACCCTAACCATTAGGGGCAAGGGACAACATGAAATCTCCCCTTCACAGAGAGATGAAAACTATCCTTGCAGGGGTCCCCTCTAGATAGTCTTAGGAGTAGGTAATGGAAGGTAAAAGAAACAGAAGAAGAAAAAAGAAAGAAAAAAAAAAAAAGTCTTTCTTTTCTTTTAACCAGGAAGCAGGCCCGGCGTCCCCCACATGAATACTGCAGTCAAATGAGGCTGAGGGAGGTACTCCCGACCAGTCCCACGTGTTGTAATTACTAATTAGTGAGTAATGTTGACCCATGATGCCTGTGGCAGGATGCTCTGCGCTGCTCAAGAGACTAAAGCACACCGACCGTGTCACCGAGCTGGATTTGAGCGGTACGAGGCTGACTGCTGCTGATGCCAGGGGTGAAATTCCCTGATACGATTTTCAATTTAAGAAAAAAACATAGAAATATCTTTCTTATCTTTCTATTTTCTTTAATTCTTTTCCGGGCAATCTGCCCTAGTTTTGTCATCTGAAATTCTCTCATCTTTAAACCACCAGTACCTCGCTCACCTATCGGCCGCGGGCCTTCCCCTATACGCGCCGCAGCCTTAAGGAGGTCGCCCAAGGGAAGGCCCGGTCGCTCCTTCTTGGACGGAGCCCGCCAAGTACGGGGTGTTACTCACACAAAGGAAAAAAAAAAAAAAAATTATAAACACAAGCAAAAAAACGAAATAAAAGAAGATACCATCGTTGCTTCTTGGCGCGCCGGAGAGAGAGAGAGAGAGAGAGAGAGAGAGAGAGAG